TTTCTCTCTCTCTCTCTCTCTCTCTCTCTCTCTCTCTCTCTCTCTCTCTTGTATGATTACAGGAACAACAGGGGACTCTGCTCCGCCAGAGCTTCCGAAGAGATGGCCCCCACCCTACAGTCTCCAGTCCCCCCGTTCCCGCCAGTTGCCGGACATCAACGGTCCCCCATCGATCGCCTAACCTCCTTTCTACAAACCCTCCTCGTTTCTTCTTCCTGACATCCCTTCATCCCTCTACCCTTCATCCCTCATCCCTCTACCCTTCATCCCTCATCCCTTCATCCCTCATCCCTCTACCTCGACCCCTCATCCCTCGACCCCTCATCCCTCATCCCTCGACCCCTCATCCCTCGACCCCTACCCCTCGTCCCTCATCCCTCTACCTCGACCCCTACCCTTCATCCCTCTACCTCGACCCCTACATCCCTTCATCCCTCTACCCTACATCCCTTCATCCCTCTACCCCTACCCTACACCCCCTCCATCCCTTCATCCCTCTACCTCGACCCCTACCCCACATCCCTTCCTCCCTACCCCCACATCCCATCATCCCTCTACCCTACTCCCCTTCACCCCTCTACCCCTACCCTATATCTTTTCATCCCTTGATCCCTTCCGTTTCTTGAATCTAACAATCTTTCCACTATGCAATAAACCTCTCGAAACTCATACTGTTATTGGCGTGGTCCTTGTTCGTGAAATGATGTTTTCATTGCTTCCAGAAAGCACCACATGTTGGCAAAGAGAACAGTCACTGATAATAAGGATTTCCAACACAAGAGTCAAAGGTTTGAAATGCAAGGTTGTACCAAAAGTCTATGTGAAATAATTTGATTAAGAAATATAATAAAGGATGCAAAATAAAAACAATAAATGATTGATACACAGAGATCATAAATGTGCAGGGCAAAGCAAAGCAGAGACGAGACATGTGAGAAACACAACAGCCCTGCAATAAATCCTCCCACCATGAAGGTTATATTATATAACATCCACTTTTATTAGTTGAAGCTGTTAGAAAGCTCAAGTTTATGTGGTATAGTTTTGTGATGCTGTTGACGGGTATGTCTGTCTCGTTGTCTCATAATCCGTCCATGACTGTAGGCTGTAGCTTTTTTTATACTCTTATTTCATATTAGAATATTTCAAGTTGTTTACTTGACAAAGCAATGCAGCTTTCATTAACATGTCTTTTTAATACAATCGTTTATACATATAGCTCATTTCAAATTCACATCCAACATTTGGTGAATTCCTGATGAATTTTAAACGGGTTACTCGCCTTAAAACTATGTTTGTCATTAAATGCCTCATGGAAAGTTTCATATTTACTCGCCTGTCCCGTTCACAGCCTGCCTGTTAGACATTTTAACTGCCAGGTTTTCAACCCACTCTTCCAGCCACCATTGCTCTCTGACTTAGTCATTAATCAACACATATACGACGGGCATGCACACACAGCCACACAGCCACACAACCACATGTAACATAACCACAGGTGCACTGACTCACTCTCTGACTCGGAGGGGAATCAGTCCAGTGTGTGTGTGTTTGTGTGCGCTGATCTCTCGTTTTGGCCATTTCATCATGCCAGCAGTGAGGATTACTGTGCTGATTGCTTGCCTGTCCTCGCTCTGACAAATGCATCCTTCCTGTGTGTGTGTGTGTGTGTGTGACCTTCCTGTACCTAATTCCACTAACGTCTGTTTTCCTTATTTGAAAATTTGTGGATTAATTTTAATCACAGCGACAAGACATACTATAAATATCCACTCGTGCTTCAGTGATTCTTGTACAAAAATGCAGCTTTAATGCATTGATAGGCGATGCATTTGGTGTGACCGTGGTTAAGTGGAGAGCAGGGCCATCCTTCAATCAGAGGATCGGTGGTTCAATCCCCGGCTCCAGCTCCGCTAGTCGCATGTCTATGTGTCCTTGAGCTCCCATATATGGTGTATGAATGTGATAGAATCTGAAATTGTAAGTCGCTTTGGATAAAAGCGTCTTCTAAATGAGTTTAATGTAATGTCAATTTTAACTAAAAGGTGATTTGAGTCTTGTCTCTTAATTTTAGGCACAGATTTTTCCCTTGATTGCTTGTTGTTTAAATTTATGCTTAAAGTTAAGCTAGTGCTATTTTACTGCATTACTGAAACTGTTGCTCAAAACCTAGAAAAAAGGGAACATTTACATTTCTGATGAAAGAGGAACGTGTGGGCAGGGAGTTTACTTTGCTTTCTGATGAAAGAGTGAACTGTTCCTGGGAAATCAAAACTCCCTAAAAAACCCAAATGACTAGTATCAACATGAGACTATTTAAGATCAGTAAACATAGTCTACAATTGAATATGCTTTTTGATAATCTATCACCTCTCTATGTAATATTATTCACAGTCATATACAGTTTACATTGTGAAACAGTAATAATTATAGGAGGCCACAGATGTCACACCAGGAATAAGACATTATTTGTTACTTCTTCCTTATTAAATGCATAAAGACATACAGTGTTTTGCTTTAATCACAGGAACCCTCCACTTTAAAATCATTTGTGAGGTTTTTTCAATCTTGTTTTGCTTCCTTTGATGCATTTTTTTCCCTCAAAAATTGAACTACCATGATTAAATGATTTATTTGTTATTATCATCACTCGCTGCGTCACAAGGTTCAGGGGCTGAAACAGTTTTGTTGACTTAGCTGACATTATTTAGACCTTGCAGTCCACATCATGTGGTATAGGTGGCTGATAAACATTTATAGTCCACATGATATTTTCCAACTTTACAGGTTCAAGACGACTGGAGAAACTACAGTGACAGGGGCAGCGTGAGCTCACAAAACACCTGATTTAAATCGCAAGCCGCCATGCAGAGTTTTACTTTAAACCACTTAATTCAATGTATACACTGCCACTCCTGATTAGAAGTTATAAAACTCCACTCTTCAGGCAGGTGCATCTCTTTTTTTTATATAATTTTTTATATAGTTTTCAGCCTGAAGATTTCTGAAATGCCAAGATTGTGAATGCTTTAATGGTGGAAAAATGATTCTCCTCCATCCTTCGCTGCTGTCAATAAATAGTTGGAAAGGCTTTGTTGGATCTTGTGTTTAAATGTGCGCTCCACAGCAGATGTTCTGTGAAGCACCATCAAGTGGCTGGCTGGTTCATTGTGGTTTTGGGGATTCTGTGGGCTGGTTGTATTTTTTAAATGGGACAAGTTGAACCATTATGATGCATTTGGGGTTTGGCGGGTTCTGCCCCTGAATTAAGATGTCGCCATGTAAATATTTGACAGAGCAGGAACAGTTTTGCCTGTAGTATGCTTATTTTATCATGCACAATATGTACAATATTTTCATTCAAAGTGCTCCCCTGTCAATGGACAGAAGCTGACTGTCCCTGGTTATGAAGATGCCTTGGCCCGGGAGCCTTGATCCCCATTGCTAAACCTTTCCGTTTCAGCCAGATGTTGACAAACTCTCAGCATGTGTACATCAGCAGGGCAGTTACGAGGCTTAGCAGGATGACGATGGGCACCAGGAGGAAAGCCATATACAGGAGCCACGGCTCTGGAAACACCACCACAGCTGGCTCTGAGAAACACAAAACCACTGACATGAAGCGTAATCCTCCAGAAATGAAGGATTAAAGAGTGCTGGGTTTATTGTAATCATTTCTCCAATTAAAACAAAGCCAACTATCTGCATAGATTCCACTCGGTCAACAAATGCCTTTTTGTGATGCGTGTGAAAGATTTTTCCTGAAGCTGTTTTGGACAGACTCACCCGAGGCAGTTGTCAGACATGTTAGGGAACCATTTCTTTCAGCATCTCCATCAACTTCAGCCACTAAGGAGAAAAGGTCAAACAAGTGTTGTTGACATAGTGCAGGACTTCGGGCCAATGACGCCTTGAAATTGTCAAGTGCAGCTTTAAAATGATATCCACTGTTGTTTTCACACTCAAGGTTATTACCAGGCGAATGGTAGTAGAAGATGCTTTTCGTTATCAGATCTCCGTTCTGGTGCAGCTGACACTCGTATCGTCCTTTACTCCTCAGAGGGACGGTCTTGGAGAGGGTGACGTAGGGCAGAGCTGCGCCCACAGCTCCTGGAGCACAGTCAGCAGGTTGGAGTTTGCATCCATTGTGAAAAATGGACAAAACAAATCCGGGATCCGGGGTCACGTTTACTTCACACCAGAGCAGAGAGTCATTGTGAGCGGTAAAGATCATGGTGTCTGAAAGAGACGCAGGCAGATACACAGGTGTGTACACGGCACGTTAAAACACACTCAGAAACACACTCATTTGTGTTGAAGGTTCTGTCTACTTTCATGAAATTCTTCTCTAACTTCTAAATGTTTTAGCCTATACACTGCACATTCATATACCATGAAGACGGGTGCTCGTATTCACATGTACAGAAGGAATCTGGATACTAAGTGTGTTGGATACTAATATTAGTTTTTGCTGGAATTAGCTTAAAGCTAAATTGTAGGGGTTTACATGTTCTGTAATAACATTTTTAACCTTATTTTCATGCAAGTTGTCAAAAAGCATATTTTTTATTTTAGTTTAGAACTAAAAATGTAATATATTAACTTTACCTATCAGTGATATTTAAATTTGAATTTTTTTTTATATTTTATTGCAGCAGTTGTAATGAATCAGTTGAATGTAATTTTACCAATAGCCAAATGTTCAGTTGTGGAACTAGACATAGTCGGACTCATTTTTTTTCTGTTTCTGATTAACTAGGAATTTAGAGAAACCAAGTTTCTTCAGCAGAAATGTAAGCCTATGTGCATTATTAACATCTTATTTGAAATATCATGGTTATCGTCAATACACCTATATTTGAATCTTAATAGGAATAGAAAAATCTAAAACCTTGTATTCACCATAAACCTTCAGTGAAGTTTCATTTCCTTTCCTCCTGAAACTTTTATCCCTCTCTGTGGTGATGGAGAGTTTGCACAGGTACTTCCCACTGTCGGCCCACTGGACATTCTTCAGGACTATGGACTTGTTTGAAGTGTTCCGACATTTGTCCATACGTTCAACACGCCCCTCATATTTCTCAGAGGGGGGCCACAGTCTGAGATTGTCAGTGTTGTTCTTTGTTAAGTACATCCAATACAGAACCGGCAGGGTCACCATCCTCTCATCGTGGGAGAGACTGAGAAGGCACGGCATCATGATGTCATGACCCAGAGCAGTGGTGAGCACAGGAGGCTGGTAGACTGTGACCAGAGAGCGAGTACCTGAAAAACAGAAAGAAAAAACAATGAATGAGCAGTTTCCTGTTAAAAGTAACCTTCACAGTATATCTTTCACCAAAGTTCTGAACCTCCATCTCTTTTGTTCTTTTCTATTGTGTTATGATGAAGGTGAGTTTAGCTACGGGCAGCGACAGACTGGATACAAGCAAAGACCACAATGTTTGTACATGCGAGTTTAAGTTTTCAGTTTAACAGAAAGGTCCAGGAATGAGTCCTAAACCCGGCAATGAGTCAGCATTTATGCACCTACAGTTTGCTCATCTCGAAGTTAATGGGTAAGATGCCTGAATTAAGGTCTTTGGTTAGCACGAGTTTAAGAGATTGCAACGCCTTGTTCTACGATTTAAAATCTGCCAGTAAATCCTTGTGAAATTTGAGGCTTTTACGTGTCTTAAATTAGACACATCTTTGCAGTTAGTGGACGCACGGAAATAAAAATCCAAATGTAGACAAAGAGATGCACAGCTCAGCAGCAAGAAACTACATGCTACCAAACTTTCTCTCTTTTAGACTCAATACATTATTTGATCCTAAAGAAGAAGTGAAATTAGACTTCTTCCGCTTAAATTGAATAATTGGAGATTTTCCTAGGAGCTTTAAAGTGCCTACAATATATTGTTCTTGTATTAGGCTGATAGGAGGATATGTGTCTTCTGTGTATGTTGGTTTCTGCTTTCAGTTGTTGAGGTTGCCACTTCCTTTTTGGTCAAAGGCAGCCAAACATTTACCAACATGTCAAGTAAATGTTGTCACATGACAAGTTGTTTTCACTTTTTTATTCATGTTGGCCCAGAGTTGCTGCATGATCTTGGAAGGTTTTACCAACATGGTATGAAGCTTTTAAAAGGAAGACAAAACTTTTGGATAAAAGAATGAAACAAAGAGATTGAAGAATGTGTTTACACATTCATTAGTGATAACAATTATTTTGGGCATCCTGATAGCTGAATGTTAAATAACCGCAACTGCCTCAAATCAATTCAGGCTTTGTACCTTTGTTACATATCCCCTTCTCTCTTCCTCCTCTACCTCTACACTCTTATCCAATAAGAGCAAAAAACACCCCCCAAAATATTTTTTTCAATTATGGTTGAGATATTAATTATGGAGATTTTAAAGAGATATTTTAGTGTGCTACCCACAAGCCTTGTTGACTTAGGCCACAAGACCAAATATGCTCCATTTTCTTTTTACATATCCAAAGATGGAGAAGAATCTAGCATGCAAAAATATTTGATACGGTTTAAAACTGATTATTATCAAACTAAGATTGCCTTTATCACAGTGTTTAGAAGTTATAACAATTGAAACACAAGAACTGGTGCTTGTGAGAGAGGAAAAAAGCAAATTGCCAAATATAAAAACAGAATTTACAGAAGGTTTGAAATGTGATTTATTTCAAAAGCAATTTGTAAAGACGTGTCTCGGTCCACCAATATAAAGTTAAGTTTTGAGGGTTCTCTCTCCCTGGAATTATCATGGGAACTAAATGCAGAACTAAAAACAAGTTTTTGCCTCTGCCTTCTCCATCTAACCTCATGCATGTTGTTTTTTTTGTTACATATCAGAAAAATACAGTAGAGCGTGAACATCCACACACCTGTGTCAATACCACAGCAAAGAAACCACTAAAGAAAGGATGAAAATGCCTGAATGAAACCTGAACCCTTACAGGAAACAACGTCAACCGTCTGTCCTTAAAACTGGATTTAAGAAATATATTACAATTGGCTGCAAGTAAGCCTGCAAAGCATTTATGATAAAACACAGTGTTGAATTGAGTAATGATTAAAAAGCCTATGTTCACGATCACAAACACACATTTGTCATCTATAAATCAAAATTATGTCAATCAAAAAACTGTACCTGCGACCATAAAGTAGAAAAACATCCACTGTGTCCATCCCCATTTCGTCAGAACGCGGCTGTGATGCATCTCAGACAAAATTATCTTCAGCATGCGTCTCTAAACGGACGACTTTGCCTCTTTTGAGTGCAGACAGATGAAGCACATGAAGGCGTATGTTACACCACTCCCTCAGAGGCTGGAAGATGTTAATCTTCTGACACCTTTAAAATGTGTCACACAGTCCAAAACTAGTATTTTTTTAATTCTGCAAAGAATTTAAATGGATAAAAAAGGCAGTATATAAAAAAAGTACCATATTATTTAATTCTTTATTATAAATTATAGATCAAAAATGAAAGCACACTAACAGGATGTGGTTCTTTGATTTAAAGTCAGGTTGTGTTTTTTTCACATGTATTTTGTTGCATGGAATACACAGTTGACAAAACTATCACCATTCAAGGTCCTGGTACCTGCTTGTTCTAGAGCTTTCGACTATATCTCATTGTCTTCATCTTCATTGAAATCTGCTCAATTGTCATGAAACTTTCCTTAACTCTGAGTACTTTAAGGGCTTCTCGTTCATGTTGTCCTAAAAGTTGAGCTTGACTGTTCAATCTTGATCTTGGAAACAGCAGTCAGCAAAAAAGAAATGTCCACTCAAGATCCACTTACTTGCTTTCTCTGGAGCGCAAGCAAATAAGTACAGATTGTTGCGTTGACAAGACCTACTCAGATAGCTGGATATTGATGACAATGGGGCTGATCTATTCAAATCATATCTATATCTATATACTTTAATTATTATAAAATGGAATTAGTTATGTGTCAAGAATGACACTCAACAAGAGTAAGAAATTACTTGCTGACTTTTATTGTTGTCTAGCACAGCTCACTTTATCTTGCTTCTCAACAGACAGACGTGTAGGCTTATATGCTCATGACAGACAATGGTGTACGTTTTCCATGCGTCCTCCCACACAAGAGGAAAGATATAGTTCTAGTGCAATCATCTATTTTTTTAATATGCACCATATTTCTTTTCAGTTGAGCCTTGAAAGGAAACCGCAGTGGTGCATGAAATATGCCATAGAAATTTGACGTGTGAAGACCACCAGCTCTGCAACAGGATATTACAGCTTTCTGCACACCCACTTGCGCAGTCATTTAAATTCAGGACTGTGTTACACCTGCATGTAGTGAATTTGTGTAAAAGAAAAACGGTTTAAAAGATAATTTTATATTGTTTAAAAGGTGGGAACATGTGTCTCATCTGGGTTAATGCCAGTTTAGTCTGACAGAATGTGCTGTGAATATTTATCGCCAAGTACTTTTCCACATAACAAGGAATAAACATGGCAAGAGAACAGAAAAAATATGAAGTTAAAATCTTCAAGTCAGGAAACAATAATCTAATAATAATTAAGATGATAAAAAATAAGTACAAGTTAAAGTACAAGTACAATGAGAGAGCTGTACATTACAAAAGTAATTTGAATCCAAAATAATTATGAAGTGTATGTTTTTTGCGACGTTAAAAGTATTTTAAATGTTTAAACCATCACTTAAGCACACTATTTTATTTGTTGTTGCATGTCATCATTATGTAGAAAACAAGTAATTGCCTGTGACACAGAGATGAACTCCATTACCCATAAAACCCCTCTGCCAACGTGTTGCGTCATTACGTCAGACGGTAGGCATATTTCAACATGGAGGACATCGTAGCTGTGGAAAAGAGCCCGGTATGAGTTAGAGAGATTGTTTCCTGGTTTTTCTCTTAGAAATTGACAGAGTTTCTTTGGTTGGCCTTTGTGAATTTAAGTGTGTGAGTATTGCTTTCCTCGGGTGTTTGTCGCAGTATTTCACTATTCATTAGCTTGTTATGGCAGCCGAAATGTAAACCTGCCAATTCATTCTCTATTCGGTTTAACGTTAGTTGCTCTGTCACGCAAGTTAGCTGCTAGCGTTAGCCTGATTTTTGTTGAGCTTGAGCACATTGATTGGCTTACGATGACGATGGTTTTATAAAGCTATACATAACAAATATTGATGTGAGATTGCTGTTATTATTATTGGGCTTTATATATATATTTTTTTGCTTTTACAAGCAGTTTAAGTAAGCTAGCCGGTAACGAGCTAACGGGAACGTTAGCTAAGCTACTGTTTGTCTTTGCTAGGTGCAAGGGAATAACCGAGCATACAGTTGTTGTCTATCTGCAAGTTTCTGTAAGATTCAGTAGTCTGTGACATTACCATGAATATATATTTTGTTGTTTGTTTGAGTGAAATAGAGTACAAGCTCTTCGTTGACGTGTGATGTTAAATATAATAGTTTAACATTTTATGTCATACATGCATTCACCCTTCACAGGACGAGATGCCTGCAATACTGACCTCCAGACCTCAGACCGGTCTTTCTTTCCTGGCACCAGAACCAGAAGATCTTGAGGACCTCTACAGCAGATACAAGGTCTGATACCTGTTAATACATTTGTGTTGTGTGAGTGTGTATATATGTGTGTGTGTGTGTGTGTGTGTGTGTGTATATATATATGTATGTATGTATGTATGTATGTAT